CAGGGGGCCCGAGAGAGAGGGTGGGTGTGAGGAAGAGAGGATTGTGGCTACTTATTCCTTTCTCTCTCTGCTTGGGACTGGCTACACCTCCTCTGTGGCTCCAGCCCCTAGAAGTCCCCTTTGTGTGGCTGTTACCATGTGCTGTGAGGTTCCCCCTCCAGAACTGGAGAATTTAGTCCACTAAAGGCTAGGTGCCTCTGGGGAGCCTTTTCTGGACATTGTCTTGACTGAGAAGAGCTTCCTTGTTCATGGTCACACTCTCTTTCAGGAGGTTACACCAATGACTGGTGATTATGAAGGGCTGGCCTCCTTGCCACAACTTGGGCCGATTCTGAAGGGCGCCCCTGCTTCAGACCAGCTGTGTAAAGAGTTCCCACTGAATTCTTCCCATTGAACTTCCTGGCCTGGTTTTCCTGACTGATACAAACCTTGCACATTCCCCATGCCTCTCCACTCTCGTGAGCTTAGCTTAGGACCTTCTGGGTTTTTGCATAAGCTCCTAACTGGGTCACTCATTCATCCCTTCAACATACACTGAGCATCTCATCTGCCAGTGCACCTACTAGATGCTGGAGGTGCAATGGTGCACAAGACAAAATGTGCCCTTTATCTCCTCCATCCGTGCCCCACACAGCTATCAGAGCATGTTTTCTAAAATTTGAACTTGATCACATCAGGCCCTGGCCTCAAACCTTGCAGGGACCTTCAGATGAAATCCAACCACCACAGTGTGGAAAAATAGGCCCTCTTTCCTGGCCCCCCCCTTCCCTTCCTGGCCTCACCTTCTTTGTTTTCTCACTTCCACCCTACCTATGTCAGCTCCTGGTAGGGCCCTAAACACAATGTGCCAATTCACAACGCTGTGCTTTTGCTTGTGCTGTTCCCTCCCACTGGAATTCCCTTGCCTCTCCCTGCCAATCTAATGAACTCCTATTCATCCTTCAAAACACCACCCAGATTTTCCCAGCACAGAAGTCAGAGAGGTAAATGTCCTCCCAGGCGGGGTTGAGTCCTGTTTCTGTCATGGCACTTTCTACTCAACTGTTTTCACAGAGAAGAGGAGCCATGTCTCATTCAGCCCAGTGTTGGTTATGAAGGGGGGAGGGAGGAATTAGTAAGTGCCAATCAAGTAAATGCATTCAAGGACAGAGGGTCACCCACAGGGAAGGTGATGGGATGCAAGTTGCTGGGGAAAGAAGGGGCTTGAGCTTGGAGGGTTCCCGGCCCAGACGCCTGGGAGGATGGACGGGTTCCCTTAGCAGGGCCTGAGCAGGTCAGCCAAGGGGACAAGTGAGCTAAAATTATCTTGGTTTCATTGCTGGGGCTTTCCCTGCTGGCAAAGTCTGGACTGACATTTTGGACACTGATTTGAAGAGGCTAATTGCTCTTTATGGATCTCAGGTGTCTCCCCTGTGAAATGGACATAATAAAGTCCTGCTTTTCCTCCTTTTCGAGGTTCTTCTGAAAGCAAACAGGTAGAGACGTGAAAAGTATTTTTGAGTTATCTACCTCTACACAAATGTGATCGAGGGTTTGCCTCGATTTTGAACTATTTAGTCAACAAATAGTCATGATAGGCTTGAATATGCTGAACTGAAAAGACCTTCGCTGTGAAAATCCAAGTTGACAAATACAAATATATAAATAGGATGTTAATCAGGAAGTAATTCTTCCCAGATTAAAAGAGTTCTTATAGCCCTAACCGGTTTGGCTCAGTGGATAGAGCGTCGGCCTGTGGACTGAAGGGTCCCAGGTTTGATTCCGGTCCAGGGCATATACCTCGGTTGTGGGCACATTCCCAGGAGGGGGTGTGCAGGAGGCAGCTGATCGATGTTTCTCTCTCATCGATGTTTCTAACTCTCTATCCCTCTTCCTTCCTCTCTGAAATCAATAAAGATTTTTTTTTTTAAAAAAAGAGTTCTTAGCTTTATTGGAAGCATCTATCACGTGATGCCATTAGCAAGCTCCTTTCGTGCATTTAGGAAGTGGCTTGGTATAAATGTGGGAACC